TTTGAACGCTGGTTGTCCCAGTCGAATTGATTTTCGTCGTTGTCTGAGGGAGTGGATGTCATGTCTTTTGACAGCTAGCTTAAATGTTCATGGATACGAAGACAAACGGGACGTCCACTTTGGCCAATGTAGTGTTTTTCGCAGTTGTTAAAATTAATTTTGTAGATGATGTTGGTTTTATCTTCTTTCGCTGTTGAGTCTTTTGGTTGACCTAGAGCTGGCTGAGTGAAGTGATCTTGTTGATTTGTGTGCGACGTCAATTCTTAAATGTTTGAAGAGTCTTGCAGGGATTTATGGTAGGGCGATTTTCTTTGTGACTTCCCTGGGTGTCTTTAATTTAGTAGGTTGGTTCGAGGAAGATGTCTTTGTATGGAGTTCCGTGGATATCCATTCTTTTGGAAGATGACCATGAGATGTTTTTCTTAAATTTTCCTTAAGGTGGGAGTGCTGCAGTGAGTCCTGACTGGCCCTGTTAAATAGTGTTTGTATACAATTCCTTTCGTTTGTTATTTGATTATTGCTGTTGTGATTCAGGATTTGGTCCGTTTGAGTTGCTTTTCCATCAACTTGATTTTCTAATTCCACTATGGTTGTTTGCTTGACTAAGACGTCTAGAAATGGAATTTTGCTGTCGTATTCCCCTTCTCTTCTGCATTTGATGTCACTGAAGACGTTGTTTATAAAGTGGTGAGCTTTGTCCAACTGGTTTCTTTTGATTATTACAGGGGAAAATGTAAAAGCTCACTTCATTCAATCGAAGTATGCTCTGAAGAAGTTGCCTAGTAGGGCAACGAAAGCTTTGAAAGTATTGAGTGATTCCATGCAAATGAATACATTTCTACATCCCAGCTTCCTTCTAGATATTTTAAATTACCAGGACTATTTCAGTTTGCTCACATCAACTCTGAGTACAGAACAAGCACGTACAGTCACTGTTGCTATGTTGGCTGTCTATCAAGTCTATAAATTCATAAATTCTGTCTTTCAACCGTTAATTTATTTGATATTTTTTTAATTAGGTTGGTGCTATATTAAATGCATATGATCACTTACAGTTGTTTTTGAATTGTCAACTATATATATTACTATTACCGAAAAAGGTTATTAAATGGCACTAAATAATTGCTCAATCAATATACGTATGAACGTGATAAGAATAACGATAACTAAAATGTTACAAGGTGTAGAGTTGAAGTGGATGAATTACAGAATTACTAAAGATTTTTTCATAAGTGGAGTGATGTCAAAAATGTTTTAAAAATGTCAAGTGTTGTCTAAAAATTTTAAAAATTAGCAGTACGATTACGATAAGAATGAAGATGTGAAGTGAATTAGGAAGAATTCAAGTGGTAAAATAAAATAAAAACTAGAAAGAACATTAATTACTATGATCAAGGTAAAGAAAGGCGTTTGACAAAACGTTTTTGAGCCCAAACTTTGGGTTTCTGTTCATGTATAGCTGGAGCTTCGGTTAGCTATGCATAAGTGAAGAAAACGTAAACTTTTGGATCGATTCAATTTCGCCATGCAGATAACTTTGAATGATGAATCACGTGGGGCTTAATGACCAGACTCTAACAGGTGATCAGAAATAGACGACTTCGCATTTCTACATTCGCCTTTCATGAACCATACCGGATAGTGTTCAGCTACACGTTTTCGGAGATTATGCTTACAATGTCCAATATAATCAGCTCCACAAGAGCAGGTAAATGAGTAAATGCACATAGATGTGGACATAAGCGGTAATCTATCCTTGTTGCATTGTCTAATCATATTTTGGCTGGTAAAAACTAGTTGCAGGTCAGCTGCAGGATAAGCGTGTTTGATACATTAAATAAACGATTTTTAAGCAATTCAGAAATGGTGTCACCTTTGAATGCTAGACTCATAAACAGTTTTTTCTTTGGCACTTTGATTTCTCTAGGGGCGGATTCTTTCTTGATGTTACGTTCAATGAACCTTGTGGGATAACCATTGTTAAGGCGATTTGATCGAAGGTTATCTAGTTCCCTATCGATTGTCTCTGCAGAGCAGATTTTACGAATTCTGGAGCATAAGGAATGAATAAGATTTCTCTTTCTTCCTGAAGGTACCCGGCTGTTGAAGTAAGTGTAGTGCCCAGTGAATGTTGGCTTTCGATAAATCAACCTTAACAGCGTTCCATTCTCTCTTCTATCTAGCTTAACATCAAGAAAGTGAAACGAGAAATTCGACTCATCTTCGACCATGAAAAGCAAAGATGGGTGAGAACCGTTAAATATATCAAGAACTTCAGCAGTTGAAGAGTTTTCATCACATACATTGAAGGTATCATCTATATATTTTTTATAATAAAACATATATATATATTACTGACTCAAAGTAATGTTGTTAATGAGAACATTTCATTATTTATTATTATTCCTTCGGGTTCTGAGTGGAACATAGGGCTTCAACAACACATCTCCACATTGTTCTATTTCCTGCCTTCTTCATCAGCTGGATCCATGATTGCTCCTATTCTCTCATCTCCCCTCCTCCACACGATAGCCTCCATATCACCCTTGCAACGACGACCCACTCATCGCTTCCCTTTTTTATTTAACTAAAGAGATGACCTGGCTAGTGTGTGATGTCATTTGATAGCCTCGTCAGTGTATACCAAACCCGTAGCCACTTTCTCCTACATATTTGTTCAGCAATCAGCTCTCACCTGTTGTTTGTTGCCGCAATTTCTTGTTGCTTATTCTTTCTAGCTATTCGATCTTGAGCCAAGGAAGTGGGTAGCTGTTGATAAAGGTCTGCATTTGCCTGTTGAAAGTCGTTTTCGTAACGCCTTGACCTAGTTTCTTACCCGCACAGACGATTTTCAAACTGGTTTCGGATTGATGAAGGCGTATCTTGCCTTCCTTCCTTCCTTTTGAGTTGAATCTTGCTGTCATGATCTGGATGAAACTGGTTTCCACTGGATTAAGTCTCTGCTGCCACTGCCACTAGTGAAATCATGATGGCTACTAACAGCCCCAGTGTGGTGGTGGTTGTTGTCTAGGTGACTGCAGTAGATTACTGACTCTCAATTTGGTAATTTTGGTAATCCGCATGTGTTTCATCTGCTCTGACGAATACCCAGCACGCCTTTACCATATCTTCTCATTTCGCTGTCTTCCTGCACAGTCTTTCCAGTCTCGTACATTGTACGGACATTCCACGTCCTCATTCTTATTCTTTCTTTCACTGAGAGACGACATCGTCTGGCTGACTGGCTTCTCGAAGGCCAGCTTTCGCCAGCTCGCTGTATCATTTAGCCTCTCCGAATTCAGTGAAGTTTAATTTTTATATTTTTTTGTAATTTTTAATATTTTCTATGATTAGTTTTGTAAGGGTTAGATTTGTTTTTTTTTACGAGTTGATCACGGATCAATATCAGTTAGAGAAGCATTGAAAACCGGGGAGTACTTGACAGCTGTTGGAGTCGCGCTAAATCACGAACTGGTAAAAGTTAGAATTCATGGGCTGACCACTGAGTCGGGTCCCAGTGGCTGAATGGTATACGAACTTGCCTTGTAACTTAAAGGTTCTGGGTTCGAAACCATGTGAGGTGAGATTAACCAGCTGTCCAGTGATCCATAGTTTTCAATTGTTCTCTAATTGATATTTCCAATATGTTTATTCTGCGTCTCTGTAACAGTTTGATATCTTTTACGGTATAGAGGCACTGGCCTCACGCCCACACCTCCCGGATTACCCGTACTTGGAAAGGGCTAACAAAACTAGCAAGCTAGTTAACTAAGCGAGGTTAATTAATTAATGCTGTCCTATAAATGTAGATTGGATAATGAGACAGACAGCGGCGGGCAATGAGGAAACAGGCATAAAATCGACTCACACAAAAAGCTTGGAGGATCTGGACTTCGCCGATGATATATGTCTGATTTCCCACAAACCGGAAGATATGCAAGAAATGAAAAGCAACAAGCTGGCAGAAGAAGCATCAAAGATGGGAAGGACTTCAAGTGAACATAGAGAAGGTAGAGACAGGGGTGGTGATGAAGATTCCTGGCCAACACCAACAGCAACAACAACAACAGACAACAATCAGCCAGCATAAATGGGAGGAACCTGAAAGAAACAACCTCCTTTACTCAGCCTACTCAGGAAGCATCGTTTCAACTACAGGCGAAACTGTCGAGGATATCAAAGCCAGAATTGGAAAAGCAAGACAAGCTATCATTACTTTTAAGTCTGTGTGGAGGTCAACAGCACTCAGAATCAAAAATAAGATCCGGATTTTCAACTCCAATGTGAAGTCAGTCAGTGCTACTCTACGGATCAGAGACTTGCACTGCGCGTCATGAAGAGCATCTCAAACAAACTTCTGACTTTCATCAACAGTTGTCTTCGCTAAATACTGCTCAAGATTAGATGGCCGGCCAGAAAAGATCAGCAACAGGGATCTCTGGCAATAAGCGAACCAACACAGCAGGAACCGATTGTGAAACAAATAGGCAGGAAGAAATGGAGATGGATTGGCTGGCCATACCCTAAGGAAACCATCAAGTGACATCAATAGACAAGCCCTTGAGTGAAACTTGACGGAATGAGAAGCGGTGAGTTGGTCGTCAGTGCAAGGGTGACTTGGATGAGGTCATGTGAGGAGATCAAAGCATGTGGACAGACTTGGAGCAGGGTGAAAAAGTTGGCAGAAAACCGAAGGCAATGGAGATGCGCAGCTGAAGCCCTTTGTTCGTCTAGGAATTAAAGGTAAAATATTAATAATAATAATAAATGTTGAACCCGACGATGAATTAATCCAAAACAATGTTCTGTGTTCAGTTAATCAGTCTTTTAAATTAAATCTGCCCCTTTGGCAACGTTGTCATATTTTTGCCATTCAATTCAATAAAACAAACACTCTCATTTAGGCGCAATTTTTAAACATAAACACATACATATTTCTTTACTTCATTTTAATTTCAATTGGATAGGAGTATTACGGAAACGAGGGGAAAATATACATGGGAATCAATATTTTGAATGTTAGCCTGCCTAATCAATAAAAACTAGGAATAATATTTCTCAGTTAGTAGTAAGCAGGCTGGTTAGTTAGTTAGTTATACGCTATATATCTATGTGTATACAATGTTTCATTTCTAGCCCTGTTTCTTTAGCATTGCGTATTGATTAGTAAATCGTCATAATGATATAAAAACAACTGATACCCATAATAAAAAATCCACCAATCAGAGATGTTAAAAGTTTTGACCAATCAAAATTTGAGATGTTGAAAATTATCATTGACACTTGAACAGGAGATAATTTTTCAATACTATGGTGATAACCTGAGTTGAAAAGTTGGAAAAATTTATAGTTTGGATCAAGTTTTAAAATTATTTTTTAACATCGGTTTATTCATAAAATCGACAAAAGACACTAAAAGCGGTAAGTTCAAGATTTGAAAAATGCTGCATAAAGTTACTTTTTTATTCAATGGTTACAATACATTTACTAGTTTGAAAAATATTTTTGTTAACTAATGTTAAAACTGGTACTTTTATTACATCTAAACGAAGCGTTTTCACAGTCCTATATTAGTACCAGTGGTAGTACAGAAACATTGAAAATAAGCATATATACTCATGCATAAAGAACTGTCTTTATCACATAAATGGTCATTTCGAATAAATTTGCAGTTTACAGTTTACGCAGTTCAAGGAGTGGGGGATGGGGGTGAATTTCACCACTTCGAACTGTCTAGCTAACACGGCTAGTTAATCAATCAATTAATAAAATAAAGGTCTTTGGAGTTATGGTCATTTTGACTACGTGAAGTTGAGATGCGTCCATCACACCACTGGGGGTCGATCCCAGGACCTTCATTTCACAAGTTGAGTTCAGTGACCGCTCAGATTCTGGAATAAAAAAGTATAGTCGATATAACTTTAAACAATTCACAACTTTTAACACTTCCAACGTTAACCAATATCACTGGAGAATATTTGTCTTCAACATCCAACCTTGTCCTAAAGTTGATCACTAGTGAGTGTCAGGTTAATTTTCAAATGTGTGCGTCGGTGGCACAGTGGTTAGGACTCTCGCCGACCATGCACATGGTCCGGGGTTCGAGCCCACGCCGACGCACACCTGATATCTATGGTCGGCCTGCGAATTTTGGGCTACCGATATCCACGCTGAAAATTCCACACTTGTACCAAAAATACGGTGTGGAATCAAGCTGTAATCAAAAATAAAATAAATAAAAAAAAAGTGTTAGTTCGTTAGGATCTATCCCTAGTAGGGCATGGGTGTACATTACTGAATAGTCTCGAACAAGGATGAATTAGCTGTCCAGGGCTTCATATTTTCCAATGGTTCTGTTCGCCAGATAGGCTGTAAACTTTATTTAATAATTTAATAATTCCCATTGTACCATTAAGAACACAATATTCAGCAAAGAATCTCTTTTCAACGAATTTATTATCAAGCTGTGCATTCGTATTTATGTGGTTTTTAAGAAATTAAGAAATCCGGTGAGAGAATTAGGTCAAAGGTGTGAATACATGAAATAATAATAATAGTGTGAAATGCAAATAAAATTTGAGTGATTTTATTCATAGTTTAATGTCAAGTGGCAAACTAATTAATCTCATATATAGAATAATACATAAACTGTCTAGATGTTGGAAAGGGGTTCATAATTATAGGATTAGTAGGCGAATACAAAATGTTACATAACATGGTGTGAAATTTGATAAGATAGAATTCAATATTGTAAAAATAAAAAATATTAAAATTAATAATTTTGGGTTTAAAATGACAAATGGGTCAAGTGGAAAAGATTCAGAGTGAGAATAGCAATAATAATAATTGTAGTAATAAGGGAAAGGTACATAGAATAACTAAATAAACAAAATAAATAAATGTCTATCCCACTACGGCCAAGGCAGCAGTAGGGATTGTACATACTACTTTTGTACACAAACGTCTGGCTTAAAGTCATGAATCGCCAAGGCCAAGGAATTTAATCCATTCACTCTGCTTTAGGATAAGGAAAATTTGTAGTTCTGATTGCGTCGACTCAGAACTTGACTTCCTGAAAGCCACACTCGCAGAAAACGGTTACCCTAACCGATTTATTGACAGAAACATGAAAGATAAGCAGCCTAAACTGGTCACCGACTCAGTTCCAAAGAAAACCTTATTCTTGAACTTGGAATTCAAAGGAGATCAAGCTTCAGATATGCTCAAAAATCGTCTTTCTAAATCAGTAAGTAAAACGTTCCTTGCAGCTAGATTACATATGACGTTCACGAGCAGAGGCAGAAGTAGGCATTGTACGTACTTCTTTTGTACACACAGGTCTGCGTAGCTTAACTACATGATTTGCCAAGGCCTCAGCTGTCTAAAGAAGTCTGTAACGAATAAAAAGCGGGGAGTTAGCATGGATTCTATATATGATCTTAAAAGCAGGGTCAAGGTCAGTAGAGTGACAGAAGTGTAGGGGACTAATATTAGAGTTCACTAATATTACAAATATGAGAAATATAATCCAAGTCAATGAAATTTTAAATAACCATATATAACCAAAAATGCAGTGACGAGTTATATCAACAAAAAGGATTACTTGGATATAAACTTTAAGTCCTCTGATACAAATTATTTACATAACCCACGGGTACGTTAATTGTTTGGGTTGCGTCTGCTGTAGCTGCTGTGTTCCGGTTGTAGAAACGTCTTCGGTTGAGAGCAGTAGACTCCTACAATAAATCCGAAGTATACAACACGGTGTGAGTTGAGCAAGTAAGCAGAAATAACCAGGGAGAGGGCGAAGTCTCCAACAGCGAAGTGTATTTTCAATTGTACACGGAAGTTATGTATATTTCAACAAAAAGCGTTTTAAACAAAAATCATGTACAATATTTCTAATTTCTACAAATAACCCAAAAAGTGTACAATCGCATTGTTACGTACTCCACAGAAGTCGATCAGGTGTCCCAGAATAGTGCTTCGCACACACCTCCCTTCTTCCTTGTAAAACAAAGCTGAAATATGTTCTCCTATTCGTGTGGAAAGCGTCCTCTGACTACGGCCAATGGGCCTTGCTCCACGATGGCAGGTGAACTGATAGATGGATATGGAGGCGGCCAGACGGGAAGCTTCTCTTATAAATAGGTAGAGAAAAATTTGCGGCTAGTGAACGTCTTATGTTATGTTGCTGCAAAGAACGTCTTTCTGACTGATTTAGAGAGACGATTTGCGAGCATATCTGAAGCTTGATCACCTTTGGAACTGAGTCGGTGACCAGTTTAGACTGCTTATCTTTCATGTAACTGTGGATAAATCGGTTAGGGTAACCGTTTTCTGCGAGTGTGGCTTTTAAGAAGTCAAGTTCTGAGTCAACGCAATAAGAACTACAAATTTTCCTTATCCAGAAACAGAGCTAATGAATAAGGTTCCTCATCCTGGAAACAGACACCCAACTGTAAAATTAGTTAATTGTTCATTCCATGTACGTTTCCGGTGGATAGGTCTTTTGAGATTCAACAGTCTGTTCTCTATGAATTGTGTCAGTATGACCTCATATTATCTCGCTTGCAGAAATATGATCCGATGACTACATTAATTCTGCAGTTTTGTGTTGTCAAATACCTAAGCGAAAATGAACGATGACAAACTCCCGGATTTTGTCACTATTTTGGTGAATGGTAACTGGCAAAATATCCAGGATGTCGATTCGTCCAATTGAGGACCCGTCATTTGAGCTTTGCAGCATCCCTATTGATGCTGTTCCCACCGAGACTTGAACCACAGCACCCACTGTTTCGAACATGAAAAGGTTGCCCACTAGGTCACTTGGGCGGAGGAAATCACACTGTGTATAAAGTGTTTCAATTATTATTCGTTCTAAATTAATTAGTTTTATTTCTTATTCACCGAATGACAACATGTTCATCCTCAACCATAGTCAAGATGTCCGTACTAGGGGGCCGATATGACAAAATTTTGGTCCAGTATATTCAGTCAAAAAGCGAATAAAAAATAAAATTGGAAAAAATATTTGGGTTGATCACGGATTGATATCAGTTAGAGAACCATTGAAAACCAGGGAGTACTGGACAGCTGCTGTTTCATCCTAGTTTGGGAATCATCGGCAGTATGCACTCACTGGGATTCGAACCCGGGACCTTCCGGTTACAAGGCAAGCTCGTATACCATTCAGCCACTAGGACCCGATTCAATGGCTCGTGAATGGTATACGAGCTTGCCTTGTAACCGGAAGGTCCCGGGTTCGAATCCCAGTGGGTGATGATTCCCAAACTAGGATGAAACAGCAGCTGTCCAGTACTCCCGGGTTTTCAATGGTTCTCTAACTGATATCAATCCGTGATGAATCCGTAAAACATAACTAATCCTTACAAACCAAACTATAAAAATATTTGGATTTTATATCCTCTTACTGCCTAAGAGTTTGAAGAGATAAGCTATATTATGCAATCTACCACATCTTACAAAGTTTGTGAGCCAATTAACAAATCAATAAGGACTTACATCCGATAAAGCACGGTGTAAAGTGTAGTGAGTAAGATTTAGGCTGCACAGATAACTAGACAGCGTTTCATCATGGGTAAAATTTATTTTGATAAAGTCTCACAGTGTTGTGCAATGAGTAATATTTACTGATGACCACGTTTCGAGCACGCGATTTGTTACTGCTCATAATCATCATATCAAGGCACTACTAACACAAATTTCTAAATCCGTTTATATAATTTCATTATTTTCGGTCGCTTGATTTGATTGGTAGTAGTATTTTCCATATTTCCAGTAAGAGTGATAAGTAATTCGTATTGTATGTGTTGGGTGTAGACTCGGTGAACCAGGATTCAGTAATCCACCGCTGTCTCTCTCCACCTACACAGATTACTTCTTAGAACTTTAACCCTCTCACATCCTATTGTGTGGCTGTGTTTTAATGCATACAGTTTTTTTTCCATATTACTCATCTGTCTTCGTGGGGTCAACCTATCTTACCTTAGCTATATTCTTATGTTCTGATCACCTGACTACCCGCGACCTACTATTCTGTAGTTGCCTGAACTCACAGTCATTGCAAGGTATTTTGTAAATTATGCTGTTATGTCTAATTGCGTCAAAATATACGGTCCTTTAGCCTACACAGCTTGTTCTACCTGAGTGCGTTTTTAGGTTTAAATGCCTCTCTAATTCCTGCTTTATTAAGAACCACATGTATAACACTGTGAGTCATTATCAAAATAAATTTTACCCATAATGGAATTATACTCCACCACGAAAGTGCAAAAGTTTTATTCTTAGATGGCGTTTCATTGATTTTTCCCCATTGAATAGGCAATCTTCCTTTGTCTGTGGTATTCATCAGTACCGGTTGCTTTGATGTAGATTACACCTCCTCCTACACGTCT